GTACAACCCATTGAAAGCTCTCTTAAATACCCTCCTAAGATGTAAAACCCTAATCAAATTCAAACCCCCAGGCCGAGAATTTGAGTGCAAGAGAGTGAGAAAATGGGGAAGAGTGTAAAGAGAGAAGCAGGGCAAGCTGATGCATCCATGGTGAGTGGCGGTTCTGAAAAGCACACGAAAAAGAAGAGGAAAAACACGGAAAAAGGTGAAGAATCAATAAACAACGCAGTACCTTTAGCAACTGAAAAGCCCACCATCACCATTGCTCTTCCTGGATCCATTATCGACAACGCTCAGTCCCTTGAGCTCGCGACCCGCGTGTGTATATTCTTCATACTCGTTGTATTTTCTTTGAAGATTTTTTATATATGTGTATGGAACTATTTAAAGCTATAATCGATCTCAACTTCCATTATTGCCTTCTCTGCAGTTAGCTGGACAGATTGCACGCGCTGCTACAATTTTTCGTATTGATGAGGTCAGTCTCCATTTCATTTTGGAATCGGATATATGTACATTTTTTTTAATCATATTTATCTCGCTCATGCATTGTTATGGTTGAGTTATTTGTAAGTTGTCCAAGATGGTTGCAGTAGAATTAAGTATCCCTTTAATCTATTTTGATATTGAAACTGATGGCAGTTGTTTTTCTTCATGTTTTTATTGTAACAGGTGGTTATATTTGATAACAAGCGCGTATCCAGTGATGTATCAGCCGAAACATTGGAGAATGATTCGGGCGAGGATGAGAGTGGTGCTGCCTTTCTTGTGAGAATCTTGAGGTATCTTGAGACTCCGCAGTATCTGAGAAAGAGTCTTTTCCCAAAACATAACAGTTTGAGATTTGTGGTGGGCATCTGATAACAGCATTATATCATTTAGAGAGAACAAAACATCTCTATTGAGACTTGTTCAAGACCTTTTTATATGTTTCTGCAGGGACTTTTGCCCCCACTCGATGCTCCACACCATCTGCGCAAGCATGAATGGGCTTCTTACAGGGAAGGTAGCATTCTGACCTTTTACTGTAACTAATTGTTTTGGACTATATTTTTGCTTTAATTATTTGATGTATGCCCTGGTGTATATGCATTTCTCAGTGCTTGCTGATTTTCAAGCATTATCTTCCCGATTCTTTTTATTCTTCATGCTCCGAGTTCAGATATTTGTAGTTTATATTGATTTTGATTCTCAATTGGAAAAAGCATCTTAATAGTTTCACTTCATGGTTTTGATTTTGATGACCATGGTCTAATTTAGCTATATATAATGTCGGACAGCTATTTAAGATCCCTCTAATGCATTTCATATTTAACCATCGATGTTCATGCTTTCAATCACTTCATATGTAACCATCGATGTTCATGCTTTCAGTCACTACATATGTAACCATCGATGTTCATGCTTTCATATGTATGGTGCAAAGTATGGGCATATGATGGCTTACACTTGATCTCTGAATTTCAGGTAAGTTCTTGTGGACATTCGACTTACTGATGCCTATTACTTTGCACCTTTCAAGTGTTCTATTGTTTTGGGTAGTAACTACTTGATGGTTGTCCAACCGTCTCAGGTTTTAGTCTTTTGCACATTTATAGATGAGCATCCATGTTTTAATCGATGTTTTGAATATTTGGAATCGTTATTGATTTACTTTTGACATGTTTAGACATTTTTGTTATTGAAATTTGGGGTAATGTCCGGGCATATGATGGCTTACACTTGATCGCTGAACTTCAGGTAAGTTTCATGTCGATAATTTATTTTAGCTGATGCCCTTGACTTTTCTCTGCCCCTTGAGCATGTGACTTAATTTGTTCTTTTGTTTTTGACCGGGATATATTTTTTATCTAATGTTTTCACAGAGTTCCGTTTTTTTTGTTGCTTAGAGTTGCATAGTCCTCTGGTAGAACTTTCCTTCACTCTCCATTTTGCTTTGTGCCTGGAATAATAATCTTGATAGCTCCCGGATGCTTTATATGATAATTTTTTCACAAGTATTGTTGTTATTCTTCTTTATGCTTTTCGACATTTAAAACTAAATGTGAGAAAGAGTTGTCTCCTTAGTTGATGAATTACATTTGGTCTTTTTTAGGTATCACACTGGAAAAGGTGGATCAGGGTTCTGTGGGGACACTTGTTGATGTGGGTCTCAGCAAGGTATCATCAGTTTAATTTCTTTTGCTTTCTCCAGTTGTTGGTGTTAGGAGTTAGTACTTAGTAGTTGCAGCTCTCTTTTTCTCACATTTTTATTTATTTATGCCCTTTTCCTTTATTATATTTCTTTATTTTGTCGTGATAGTTTCACTTTTTCTGTGGTGCTGCTTATATGTATCTATTAGATTGTCAATAATTTACTTCTGGCTAGTACTAAACATTAATCCAAAGCATTGCTGTACATGCCAAAGGCAATTAAAGTTTAAACATGATATTGTCAATTACGACAAATTAGGGAATCCGGAGACCATTTCCTCCATGGGTCTAGTAACACTGAATATACCTTCAGGTTGGAATGTTGCATAACTAAGCATGTAACATGTGTAATAAGCGCATTTCCCAGTTGACATAAGTCGGATCCTTTACAATTTAATGACTTGATTTTGCAGAATGTTATAATCGATCAAGTTCTTGAACGTGGAAGAAGAGTTACAGTGGATATGGGGACAGATCGCAATCTAGATGCAGGTCAGTAAACCTTCTTTGTCTCTCTTTTGTTTTTTTCGTTTTTCATTTTTTTTTTTTCCCTTTTCTTTTGGAGAGTGAAAGCACTAAAGGAAACTGACTAAAAATTCAAATTTTGTAGGTCCACGGAAAATTGTCCCTTCTTTGACGCCTAGGGAAAAGGGAATGTACTGGGGATATAAGGTCCGATACGCTCCAAACATTAGTTCTCTGTTCAGAAACTGCCCATACCAGGTCTTGTTTTGTTTCTTTTTTATTCTCCTTTTTAGAGCTTTTCTTGAGTGTGCATGCATGAGTGCCTTGCTTGCTAATTATTCTATCTTTTGATCGAAAAGGGAGGGTATGATTACCGGATCGGTACCTCAGAACATGGGGTAGCTATTAAACCTTCGAAGCTTGCTCTACCATCATTCAAGTATGCAATCTGCCCTGATAATGCACTGTTGTAATTCTTTGTGCTTTATACTAATGCATTTAGTTTAATTAGTTGATGGTTTTACAATCTATAAAGAGAACTATGTTCTTTTTCCCCAACAAATTGCATACCATTATTTCTTAAAAGTAGGATTTATCAATCAAGTAGTCCGATATTACCATATGAACTCTGATTTATTTCACAACTCATTGATATATAATTGTTCAGTGGTGTCATCAAGATTTTAATTTAGAATTCTTACAACTTTAGGCATCTTTTGATTGCTTTTGGTGGACTTGCGGGGTTGGAAGAATGTGTTGAAGAAGACGCAAATCTGAAGGTATTTGACCTAGAGACCTTTTCAAACATTCACTGTGGCTTTTGATTAAATGCTATTTTCAGCCAATTCCGAGCTTGTTATTCGTGGACCTTAACAATGCATTTTCCTTCAAATCAGTTTAACATTATAAATTTCATAAACCAGTCAGATACTATTTTCTTTCACTAATGAGTTAAGCCAAAACTCTAAAACTAGTGATGTTTTAATTCCAGGGGAAAGATGTTCACAGCATATTTGACTCGTATCTAAATACTTGTCCCAATCAAGGGAGCAGAACTATTCGGACAGAGGTAA